TCAAAGAGCTGCAAAAAAGTATCACCTGCTCGTGTCATGATGCAGGGGTGCACTGAAGAAAAAACACATTGGATCTTGAGTCCAGACTTTTAAAAATATTGACAAGAAAAATGACTCTTGATTCAATCAGAGTTAAGCTTCAATCAAAAGGAAATCCGCTCCAATTAAGATGCTTGGTTCTTGATTTAAGCTTAAATCTGGATTGAATCAAGAGTCCTTTTTCTTGTCGATGTTTATAAGAGTCTGGACTCTAGATCCAATGTTTTTTCCAGTGTGCCGTAAAATGTAGAAAATGAAATTCCCTGATTTCCCTGACACTTTTGAGAGAAATTCCCTGACAATTGGAATTATGTCAAAGTGACATAACTTGAAAAAGTTTCCAAACAAAATCTGACGTTCTATACGTAAAATCTACTCTAGAAAGCTAATGAAGGAAAATTGAAAATTTTTCCCTGACACTTTCGTCATTTTCCCTGACATTTCCCGGTTTTTCCAGGATTTTCAAATTCCCTGACATTTCCCGGTATTCCCTGACCGTGGCAAGCCTGTCTCGAAGCTTCACGCGGCTGAAACCTACTATCCCGGAAAACGTCGATGCAGGAAATACAAAAGGGCACCGAGTCACTTTTCCAAACTTTCAACTCAAAGAACTGCAAAAAAAAGTGTAGAACTTTTACATAAGAATTAACAGTCAAATCGCAAATTCCTCACACATGCAACATCTCCATTACGAGGTTAGATGACGGAGCTTTAAGAGCTCCGAACGTGCTAGTTGCATATCCAACTAATTGAAGGCGCGGGTAAATGCTGAAGCGTCGGCGCGGGCGGGCCGCTGCGAGTCGCCAGCCCTGCAGCCTGCACTACAGAGCACGGAGTCTTAACTCCCCCGCAAAGCGGTGCGATAGACCTGTTGCTCGGAGAAGCCTCATCATACTTGCTGCTTCGTGTAACGTCCAGCTACAGCACGATTCTACAGAATCGTTCGGGCTGTTATCAATGCTACCGTGCTAAAAAGAGCGCCGTGTGGGCTATAGAATGACGCCAAATTTCTTCTCAGAAAATATTAATTTTTTTAACAATCTTACGGAAATTTTTCCTTGACATTATCTGAAAAATCGAGAGGTAAACATTTGCATTTTATTTTTAAAAAAATCGTTGTCAAGGGAAATTCGGCAACGTCCAAAGGCCCATACGACATTTTTCCCCGGCGCGAAATTAATGGCGATTTAAAACGGACTTTCGTGGAAAATCGCTTTCCCGGGAGATGAATGGGTGATTAAGAAAATTAAGGTACTTTTCAGCTTCAGAGGCGGAAAAAATGAGGAGGTAGACGACACCTAGGTAAAAAAAATTTACAGGAAATTTCGTTTTGCGTCCTTTCGTACGCAAAACGATCGGATCCGTTTTACACAATGGAGAACGCGCGAATGACGTCATTCCATTCAAAAAACCTGCTTTTCAAAACAGCGAGAAACATTTTTTTGGCATGTAAAGTTCATGTTTTTGTGACCCATACTATGATCAAATGCCTGGCTTTTGTTAATAGCACACTTTTCAACGAGCCATACGTACTTTTTATGCCGTTCTTATCAGTAAATGTTACAAATGCGTCGTTTCGGCCGAATTAATAGTTGGGGGAGGCTACAACAAATCCAAAAATGACCTTAGTGTGATAAATTCACGCACGAATTTTTTCGGGGGACATCGATTTTCCTCGGAAACCCCCGTTCCTTTCCGGAAAATTGGCGATCGATGGAAAGAAACACCACCCCGGTGTTTCCCCGTAGTAGACGCCCCGTCTACTAAAACAGGCTGGCCGAAAATCAGTGCTTTTACAGTACTTTTTCAGTACATTCCCAAGAAATTCAGTACCTCCTCAACAGACAAATTCAGTACTTTTTCAGTACCTCCAATTTACGAAATTCGAAAAATTTCAAAAATTTGAAAATCCCGCTCAAGCGCGACAAAAATGGCTAAAAAATGACAAAAATTCCGGACCTTCAGCAGCATTTCCGCACTTTTTCAGTACTTCCGGACCGCCCTTAAAAGTCAGTACTATTTCCGAGCTTTCGGAAATTCCGGACTTGTAGACACCCTGTCGATACATCGCAACGCACGCCACACCACTGGATAATTCAAAGATTTTCTGACCCAGCCAAGAGACAAAGTATGATCTGACACGTACTAAAGTTCACCATTCCTGAAAACGTAATTTTTCCTGCATTTCCCCGGTTTTCTCCGACCGATTTCTGTCCACTGTTTCCCCAACTGTGGACAACTAGCACAAATAACGATTTTCTCGAATGAGTAATACTATTTTTCCTCCATTGAAACGGATCAAAATTAGGTCATTATGATCACTATGGGCGAGGTCCAATGTTGCCAACTTGCTGAAATCGCCACTGGTTGTTCGTCACAAATGAACATGAAAACATAAAATTCATTACAATCCAACAGGGGCGATTCCAGCAAGTTGGCGACACTGTTTTCCCTCCTTTTGGAACCACGTTAAACAATCGATCCAGGCGAGGCAACCTGTCCGACGTAAATTCGATATATTCACTGGATTTAAATGGAGTATAACAGTGTTGCCAAATTGATGGATTCGCCACTGCCACTGGGATCCGACAACATATCAAGAGGCCGAGGGGACTTTTGTCTCGTTGCCAAATTGTTAGATTTGCGGTTGTTGGGTTGTAATGTATTTCCTGCACGTTAGCAACACTGCGTCCCTCCCGTTTAAACCACGTCAAACAATCGATCCAGGCAAAGCAGCCTGTCCGACGTAGGTTCGATATAGTCAGGGTGTCTACTAAAACAGGCTGGTCAAAAATAAGTACTTTTACCAGTGGCGTGGCGTGAATGATCGATTATCGATATTTTTCCATTTGAAGCTATGGTAAAGAATCGATTATTAAGGTGTTCGCTGCGAACACCCTGTTTATCGATCCTTTTCCACTGGTTTAAAGGACAGATCTATCGATATATCGCAAAGCACGCCACGCCACTGACTTTTACAGTACTTTTTCGGTACATTCTCGAGAAATTCAGTACCTCCTCCGTCATGATTCCGTACTTTTTCAGTACCTCCGTTCGACAAAATTAGAGAAATTTCAAAAGTTCGAAATTGCGATAAAAATGATAAATTATTTTAAAAAGATCCGGACCTTTTTGCGTGATTTCCGCACTTTTTCAGTACTTTTGGACCGCCCTTATAAAAAAATCAGGACCATTTTCGGACTTTCCGAAAATTCCGGATTTGTAGACACCTAGAAATATAGAGAAAAACAATGTTGCCAATTTACTGGATCCGCCGATGGGCGAGTGACAACGCCGGACAGTGACAGGGACAAATACGGACCTTTTTGCGGAATTTCCGTACTTTTTTAGTACTTCCAGCCCGCCCCTAAAAAATCAGTACTATTTCCGGACTTGTAGACACCCTGCATATTCAATGGATTTAAATGGAGTATAACAGTGTTGCCAAATTGATGGATTCGCCACTGCCACCGCGATCCGACAACCTTCTCCACGAGGCCGAGGGGACCTCTGTCCCGTTTCGTGGAACCCTCGAGTTTTTTCGTTCCATTGATTTTTCCTACGAAAATTGGAAACATTTCAAAAATTCGAAATTGTTATAAGAATGACAAAAAAAAAAAAAAATCCGGACCTTCTTGCGGAATTTCCGCACTTTTTCAGTGCTTCCGGACCGCTCTTAAAAATCAGTACTATTTCCGGACTTGTAGACACCCTGTATATTCAATGGATTTAAATGCAGCATAACAGCGTTGCCAAATTGCCGCATTCGCCACTGCGATCCGACAACATTTTCCACGAGGCCGAGGGGACTTTCGCCCCATTTCGTGGAACCCTCGAGCTTTTTCGTTCCATTGATTTTTCCTATTTTCGCCACGGCGACCCCGACACGGGGCGAGGAGCGAGCGAGGGATTCACGACGACGACGGAGCCGAGGTGAAGGGACCAGGGACCGGGGGAGGGGGAGGGGGGAGCGGGGGTGATCCCGACGATTACGACCCTCCACCCTTCCGCCTCCGCCACTGCCGCCGCCGCCGTGGCAAGACAACCGAGGGTGCTCGGGGTCGAACCTGCAGGGGCGGGGAAGGGGGGGGGGAGAGGCTCGTGGGATGAACGATCCCTTGCTTGGCGATTCATTACACTTTCGTAGCGGGGTGGAAGCTCCGGGTCGAGTCTTGCAAGACGGCAACAGTGTGCTTAGCCCATTTGAATGTGTGCACTATGATCGATATCAATCGATTCTAGAACTCGATTATTTACATGCAGTTAGATGGAGGGATGGACGATTCATTACACTTTCGTGACGGGGTGGAGGCAAAGCATTCTTGCGAGACAACAACAGCGTGGTTCACCCATTTGAATGCGTGCAAACTACTCGATAATAATCGATTTTAGATAATAGATATGATCGATATCAATCGTTTCCAGGACTCGATTATTTACATAAAGTTAGATGGAGGGATGGACGATTCATTACACTTTCGTGACGGGGTGGAAGCTTCGGGTAAAGCATTCTTGCGAGGCAACAATAGCGTGGTTCACCCATTTGAATGCGTGCAAAATGCTCGATAATAATCGATTTTAGATAATAGATGGGGTGAGAATCGATTACTGGCATTGAATTTAATGGAGGGAAGATATCCATCGATTTTAGATGATATGAAACTAGATTATTGACGTAAAGTTGAATGGAGCNGGGGGGGGGGGTCGTTAACAGTACACACTCGTGACGGAGGGGTAGCTTCGGGTGGAAAGTCTTGCAAGACGGTGACAGTGAGGTTGGACCATTATAATAATCAAGTATAAATCTAGAACACCTGAAAATCTCATAGAAAAATGTTCTTCATTTTCCTCAGAAACATGCAAATTCATCGGCGACAACTCGGCAACGATTAATGTTAGAACATAGGTATTTTGCTTATCTTTACGAGTGAATCAATTATAGGGGATTGTGAATTACTTACATGTGCGATTCCATTAACATTGTAACCGGAATTAACAAAACCCTGTAACAGAAGAAATGAAGGAATTAGAGAGTTTTGACCAAAAACTAATCAAGGCGGCAATTGTGGAAAAAGAGGGATTAACAACCCCCTTCCAGACACTTGAAACAGACCATTCGCTGAGACGGCCTTGGTCGATTTGGGGCATTGGAACATTTTCTAGTGGTTCACTAAGTCCGATATGAAATTTTTATGAAAAGACATACAGTTTATGCCTTCTCTTACACTGGAAAAAAACACATTGGATATAGAGTCCAGACTCTTGAAAAAATTGACAAGAAAAAATACTTATGATTCAATCAGATTTTTGCTTAAATCAAAAGGAAATCCGCTCAAATTGAGAGGCTTGGTTCTTGATTTACGCAAAAATCCGATTGAATCAAGAGTATTTTTTCTTGCCGATGTTTTTAAGAGTCTGGACTCTAGATCCAATGTGTTTTTTTTTCCAGTGTAGCGGTTCGTTATCCACTTGAAATTGGAGGGAACCACACTTTGCTACCAGAGGCGGATCTGGCAATTTGGCAACGCCGAATTCCCTCCATTTAAACCTATGTTAAATGATCGATTCTTGTCGAAGCGCTGGCCCCTCCGACAATCGATACATTTCCATAGGTTTAAATGAAGAAAAACAATGTTGCCAATTGGAGGGAACCACACTTCGCTCGCGAGTGACAACGCCGGAATTCGAGATGGGTCGAGCACGCCTGATTCCTGGTTCGATCGTAGCCTTCCGCGTTCTCGAGTCGTCTCGAGCGTGGCGCCGCACAGTGGGACGCAACTTCAGAAGAAGTCGCACCTGAAATGTATCACAAATCGATGGCCGAAGTATGAAACCACGTATCTCCATTGCAATGTTTAAGAAAGTCCGCTTTTATTGTACTTTTCTAAGATAAAAAAGCAAACTTTACAGCTTGGATCCATGCAGATTATTCTACTCACACAGAAGAAAGAGCACGAAGAATTTCAGGAAACTACGTTGACCAACTTTCCACAGAAAAAATAGAGAATGATAGAAAGTCTGCAACGTCGCAAATGGAATATGAGCGGTCTTGCACGTTTGTTCTCTAATTGGGGGCTCATGAGTTTCTTCACAATGTAAGTTTAACTGATGCGGGTCGAATAAACAGAGGTTTTTTGAATTTTTTGAATTTTTTTTTAAATTCTATGTAGGGGGCTTTACGTAAAGGGGGTACGTACGAGGGTCAGGCCAGCGTTACGTAACTCAAAACGGGGGTGTAGGGCTGCGTTACGGGTGCGTTACACCGGGCAGGGTTGCCCCAGACTTTAGAAAATGGAATTCCCTGACACATTTTGGTGAAATTCCCAAGAATTCCATTTGGTGAATTGAAGATGTGACGGATGGTTAAGAAGGTATAATTGAAAATAGTTTTCAGCAAAATTCGTTGTTCGAAACCTCAAACCACTTCTGACAAGCAAATAGAGATGATAAAACAAATTTTCCCTGACATTTCCTGGTTTTCCGTGACTTTTTAAAAATCCTGGACATTTCCCGGTTTTCCCCGACTGTGGCAACCCTGGAGGGGGGGGGGGTGTAAAAACATCGGAAAAGTGCGTTACTCTAGCAAGGTCCCTTACTGACTATGGATGTGTGGAGTCTCTGATCGGTTGCCGTTAGTTCGTCTCTTACTTGCCTCATTTGTCCATCACAACCACTCGCCTCCATCATTAGGATCGCCCCAGCCCGACTGTCTCTTATGTCTATCGGCTTGTCTATTAATTTCGATTATGGGCCTACTTGGCGCCGAGCGAGACGAATCGATCCAAGGTGAGCCAGCGGCCGCGGTACTCGCGGATAAGCCGTTGGTCGCTTCGCTCATCTGCACGCTGCACTTCGTCGTCATCGGTCGCCACTCCGGGGTCGGCGGGCCTCGAAAAACGAAACCGAATGCTCTCCGAAATCGAACAGACACTGTCGAAGTATACTGCCACGCTAGGGAAAAACGCCGTATAAACCTTCAGGCGTTGCCAAATTTACCTTTGATAAAATGCGGATTTCCTGGTAAATTTATGAACACTTTTCTTCCGATTTTTCAGATAATTTAGTTCGGAATTTTACGTAAAGATTCTGAAAATTTAAAGGAAAAATAGTCATAATTTTCCTAAAAAATAAACATTTTGTCGAAGGAAATTTGACAACTCTTGGATGTTCATATACGGCGTTTTACCTTAGCACGGCAGTATAGAGAACCATCGTAGTGAGAGTGCGGACACTGCTGACGTGTATCTAAGCGACCTGCTATGCTCAAAACTTTGAAATCTTACGTCAGGGTGTCTACGAAAACAGGCTGCAGGTCAAAAATAAGTACTTTTACAGTACTTTCTCAGTACATTCTCAAGAAATTCAGAGCCTCCTCCAACGGAAAAATTCCGTACTATTCCGGAACCTCCATTCGACGAAATTCGAAATATTTCAAAAATTTGAAATTGCGACAAAAATGACCAAAAAATTTAAAAAATTCCGGACCTTTTTGCGGAATTTCCACACTTTTTCAGTACTTCCGGACCGCCTTTAAAAAATCAGTACTATTTCCGGACTTGCGGACACCCTGAAACCAATATAACCACTTTTGGAGCCTCAAAGTCTTATATTAACGGCGTTATGCCCGTTTGAAGTTTCCAATAGTCCGACCTCTCCTATTGACTCGATCCACCGTTCGCAATCGACGATCAACGAGATTTCGGGCGGATATGGGAAATACAAATCCGTCATCGTCGTTCCCTGTTTCCCGTTGCACTGTCCCGGAGTCGAGCGTGGAGCCACCGACGATGACGGAACGGAGCGAAAAATGGGGCTCGGGCTAATTAGCCTAATTTCTTCCGGTGTCGTCGGTTGCCGGTGAGTTCCCGGTTCGATCGGCTCCGGGCGGCGCACATTGGTTCCAGGGCCCGATCTAGGTGGCATTAATTAGAATATCACTGATGATGACATATTATATACGTTTCTAGGGGTTCTTTGGGTCGCTAATTACGAATTTGAAGTCAATTTGACTGTATCATTTAGCATAAGGTGGTAAATTTGCATTTAGCTTGAAAATTCATACTTAATACTACATTAATAATATTTTAAAATGGCTGAATTCCTGGACTGATATATTTTTCAACCTTTTTTGATTTATCATCAAAAACTATCGATGAATTTACGAGGATTTGTCCTCTAATTACTAATTTTTTTATGGGGGGGGTGGGCAATGTTGCATAATTTTGTGAATCAGGAATTGGTATTATCTGGTAAAATATACCTCCTAAATGCTGTGGTTTCCCTGAGGAAAATAAATTCCAGTACCAAAGAAAACTGCTTATCCCACTATTCGAGTTGTTCATACAGTGTTGACAAATCAGCGTAAGAAGAACTTTATTTGAACCTCAATGCTCGCTGATTTCTTGATTCGCCGCGCTTTAAAACCAACAGAAATTTTGAAGCTTCGTAATTTAATGGTACAATTATGCTATCAGAATTATTATATTATCAGAATAACTATGAATTAAGATTCGATCTTCGTCTATAATTCAAAAAATACATTTAAATTCATTATACGCGGCAATTTAAACATACGTAACATAAATATTTTACTTGAACAAGAAGTATAGGTATTCACTCAATGAAGGAAAGCAGAAACCAAAATTAATAACAAAGTATTTTGAAAGAAAAATGATTACTGTCTGTAGGAGCAGGAAAATATTCATCGGTATAATATTTTATTGCGCATCAAAAAGAGTGAGGTGTCACACTTGCTTTTTTTCTTTTTTAAACAAAGTTGTGAGCTTGCGATGATTTCAGAGCCTTACAAACCTGAGAGAATAAAAACACGAAGAAATCATGAACCAAGAAAGAAATAAGCATTCGTCGTTAAGTTAGAGGACATTTACTCATACAATCACGGAATAATGCGCGAGGAGTGCAGTAAGCTCCTTTTCTGTGGAACAGTGCTATGTCTATGGGCCTCTCTAAAGGTACAGACAATGTGAAAAACAATTATCTAAACGATTGAGAGGATTTAAGAACCCACGTGTTCTGTATTTTGAGCCATAATTGTAAAATTTCTAGTCAAAAAACGGGAACTGTCTTTAGTCTATGGGCTTCTCTACAGGTATAGACAAGGTGAAAAATAATCATCCCAATGATTGTGAGGATTTGAGAACTCACGTGATGTGCAAAAAATGCAGTCCTCAAAGATTTGGAGTCTGCAGTAGTGCAGTAAACTCCTCAGTGTGTCAATTTTCTTCATTTCTCGAAGGCCGGTTTTGGAAATTCAAAGTGCGCTAACCTCCAGGGACGCAAGTATGCGCAGAATTTTTTTGCTCCGAAATCAAGTGTAGGGTCAGCACTAACTACTACAGTCGGTCTGCACGTGTGCGAACCTACGCAGGGCCTTTATTTTGAGTCATAATTGTAAAATTTCCAGTCAAAAAACCGGAGCTGTGGTAAGTCTATGGGCTTCTCTAGAGGTATAGACAAAGTAAAAAATAATCATCTTAACGATTATGAAGACTTGAGAACCCACATGACCTATAAAAAATGCAGTATTCATATTCCCAAGGATCTGAGGTCTGCAGTAAGCTCCTTAGTGTGTCAATTCTTTATTTCTTGAAAGCCGGTTTTGGAAATTCAAAGTGCCCTAACCCCCAGGGACGCAAGTATGCGCAGAATTTTATTGCACTAAAATCAAGTTTAGGGTTAGTACTAACTACTACAGTAGGTCTGTATGCGTGCGAACCGGCGCAAGACATTCATCTAGAGCCATTTTTGTAAAAATTTGCTTGGAATTAGTAGAAAATAACGCTTTGTCTAACGGCTTGTCTAGATGTATAGACACGTTTTTGAAAGATAGTAAGAACGTATAAACCTTTAACATGCCTTATATTTTTGATACACCATAACAGAACACTTCACATTTGCATCTATTTCTGTGTGATGAACTTCAAATCATAGGACCTGACAGTAAACACTGAAAACTGGTGCGAGTCCGCCCAAAAGTACCTCG